CACCCCTGGTACACGAGCCCACCTGACCCCGGGCTGACCTCCATTGATCTGCAACCTTTTAATATATGTATGAGGTCGTAAATGTGCGCCGAGCCTTCAGGAAAAAATTGGTTTGCACTGATTTTATCGACGAATGAGAGAAGGGTTTACTGCAGGGCAGACGGCGCATCCTGCACGACTTTTAAGGTCACTGCGTAGAACATCCACGCTCATCCACCCGCCTGATCTAAAGGCACAAATTTACATCTCTGCGGCTGAATGATGACCTAATCTCTTTCCTGTCAGCTCCCCACTTGACCCTATTTGACCTCTGACCTCTTTATGGCCTGCAGGGTGTTTCTCCAGGATCTTCAGGGTGTAATTGGTTCTCTGGCCTTTGCTGTTGAACTCGATGTGACCTGTCAGACCGTCGTACTCCACCTGATGACACACGGGCAAACACCAAAGAGCAGGTTAGCAGGTTAGCTAGGTGCAAAGCTAACTGAACGTTGTGCTATATTAAAGTAATAATAAGATAATATCAGTAGATGGAATACAAACGTTAGTCTACTTTAATTCTACTCAGCTTCAATGTGAAGAATAAGAAGGAAAATAAAAGCACATCTATTTCCTGATTGATAACGACATGTAAAGAACAGCATGACGCTGCAGTGACATCACCCGCTGATGTCACCATCTTTGTGACGGGCACCTAAGGTGGTCATGTGTCATCATGAGGTAACACGCCCTGAGGCAGGGCGGCTAATTTAAGTTTAAAGAGATGAAATTACTACTGAGTTCAGCTCATCAGTGCGGTTTCTCCTGGTGGGAAAATTAACCACGCCCCCCACCCTGAAGCATGACCTGCTTTATCATCTGTTTTAGTGAAAGAGGACCTTAATGTCCGCACTCAGTAAGACCTCAAACTAGCAAACGAGCTCGTTGACTCATTAGGACGGCGCTTATGGAGGCCATAAATCAGTGAGCCGTACACTTCTTTGTACAGCCAGAGTCGCCTCCTGCTGCTCAAGCGGCACTTCCACATCAGCTTTACTATTCAGACCCAAAGGCTAGAGTCATCTTTTATATACAGTCTTTGCATGGAGTGACTGCAAACCATCCTGTCAGTGCTAACCTGAGGGTGAGAGAGCTTCACACCCTGGACTCTCTCTCCAGTAAACTGTTAGCCGGATTAGCTGCACAGACTTGTTAGCAGCTAGATGACACTCGGCATCTTTATACGGAACAACAGACTGCGTTGGCGTTCACGTTAAGGATGCAGAAAATCTGGGAAAGATGTTTACAGCAGCTCAATGTGAAGCTTTATCACAGGCTGCACTTTAATCTGACACACACACGTTTTCATATCTTTGTGGGACATCTCATTGACATAATGCTTTCCCAAGCTGCTAACCTTAACCATCAATGAACCCCGAGCCTAACCATCACCATAACCTAAATGTAACCCTGACACTTTGAGTCTCAAACACGCCTTTAAGCTCATGGGAACTGGGATTTAGGTCCCCACACAGATATCAATACATGCTCTCACACACACACTGGAAATAGAAACTGAGACAACAGGAGAGACAGACAGTTCATCAGATCAGTGACGCTGCTGCTGCTGGTGTGTGTGTGTGTGTGTGTGTGTGTGTGTGTGTGTGTGTGTGTGTGTGTGTGTGTGTGTGTGTGTGTGTGTGTGTGGTGTGGTGTGTGTGTGTGTGTGTGTGTGTGTTTGCAGGAATGTGCAAATAAGTGTGAGAGATGTGCAGCCAAGCGTGCATTTTGTTCCTTAGTTTATGTGAGTTATGTGTAATCGAGTGCACATACACTATGAACGGGTGTGTGCGTGTATCTGTGTGTGTCTGTGTGTGTGTGCGTGCGCACCACTCAAGATGAATTACATCCCAAAAACAATGTGGCGAGAGAGACGGGGAGAGGGAACGCGGTCTCTGGTTGCTGCCAGGCTCAGTGCAGAGATGATGAAGTGATGCTCGGAGAGCAAGCAAAACAAATGGAGAGAGGGAGCGGCATCCTCAGAGGATGGAAAAAACAAGAAGTGGCAGACAGACAAAGACGGGGGAAGAGGAAGACAGGAATAAATCAAATGGACATGAAAATGAAAGAAGGAAGGAGGGAGGAGGCCTCCTTCCACGGGTGCAGCTCTGCAGCAGCTCGCCGTGTTAAAACCAACAAGTCCTCTAAATGCTGCAGTGCTGAACGCTCCTGCTGCGAGCTCAAATCCCTGCCAGTGTTTCCACTGAAATATGAAGTGTTTCATACCAGCAGCATCCACACCCACATACAGCCAAGTTCACGCCTTCTACTGAGTCCCTGCCTATTTGGAAAAAACAGCTTTCAAAGCTTTTAAAAAGCTGAAATGTCAGAGACCACACGGCTGCATGGGAACCAAACCTACACCAGCACAGAGGTGAAACCAGCGTGCTGCTGTACTGGCTCATCCTCCAGTGTCTGAGCTTTTTAAACTGGAAACACTGCTGTTAGCACTTCCATCCTTTGGCCTGTTCAGTGAATGGAAGCAGAAGAAGAAGAGCTGCGCTCGCTGCTGCTGAGACGACAGTAAACTGTGAGCCCTTCATCTCTACATTACCCATAATGCCTTTCTGTGAGATGTCTGTGGGCCTCCTCTGATAATGCGTGAGGTGTGTCTGTGTGTGTTTACCATGCGCAGGTAGTTCATGAGGCTGGTGCCGTGCTGCCAGATGAGCGGGGAGGTGCAGCTCAGCGGCTTCACGCCGATCTCCTGACTGCGGTTCAGCTCTCGCACGGCGCTCACCACCACGTGAACGGCGTCGAACATCAGTGCTGACGACAGCTGAGACAGACACGGGTGAAAACATTAAAGCATGAATGGGTTCAATAACTGACACAGCAGAGCGCTCTGATGTCGCAGTGGAGGAGCTGCCTGTGTGCTCGAACTTTTCCGTCTCTGTGAGGAATAAATACGATGACTTCCATCAGCGCCGTTTTACTCTGAGAGACTAACCAGTGTCAGCTGCTTCTCCCAGCCGGACACAAATGTGTCGCTCTCAGTCCGACACTCGTGAATGATCTCTGCAGCTCGGCCTCTACGAGAACATCTTCCTAATGTGTTTCACATCTGAACCCTATGAGTGATGCACAGATCTGGACTGTCCATAACCCAACTGTATTCATGTAAATGACGAAGGGTGATGACGGAGGATGCCGGTACATCTGCACTCTGTTGGTTTTAATGCATCTGTCTGATGCACACGAGTCACAGAGTTCTGACATCACGCCGTTCAGCAGGTAGCTTGCTTGCTCATATTTTGCTTCCAAAAAGCAAAATGTTCTTGAGCAACAGTTCTTCAGCTTTCTGACGGTATTTCAAAGTTCGTCTGTCGGTCCAGTCCTGGTGCCTGACCATTTGTTTCTGTCCGTTAAGCCTCTGAAGCCTCAGAGTTCACACTGAGCTGAAGGATGAAGCTGCTCACACCAAATATTCAAACTCTGTTCTTGCCTATTATTATTCCATGTATGTTTGCATATGTTATAATGAACCTCCAGGATTCCTGCAAAATCTAAAGAAATGAATGGTGACTTAAGACTTTTGCACAGTGCTGTAGTGTGATTGAACTCCTATTAGCCATTAAGAGTACTGGGTGAAGTTAAGAGCTTAAAAGCTGAGATCAGAATAACATCAAGAACAATCTGCTGCATGTGTCCTGTTCATTCAGCATGCTCTCCTCCACATTCCCCACTGCAGCCCACAAAGCTGCACAAGACCAAAACTCCCAGAAACAAGAATAAAAAGCTGTGTTTGTTGGTGCTCCTACAGCTGAAGACGCCGGGGTATTGATAGCAAGAAGAGGAAAATTAAAGCCCTCCTGCTATCAGCGGCTCTCAGCGCTGGGCTCAGCAATCGACTCAGTGATCCTATCACAGTCTGACGTTCTGGTCTGTTTGGTCAGTTGTCAATCAAACTGACACTCTGAGGGAATCAGACAAATTGTACGGAGGCAGAGCGGCACAGTCTGTCAGCGGCTGATAAAGAAGACGGATGTATGACCGAGTGTGATTGGAGTTCTCTCCGAGTCGATAGTTTCAGGGCTGGATGACAATAACTAATTACAGACTGAAGAGAGACAGATAGATGAAGTGAAATCAGAGGCAGGAAGAGTGAAGAGTTCTGGTAACTCCCAGTCCCAGGTTTGCTCCGCCTCCTCCAACATGGACCATAACTTTACTGAGGAGACACCGGGCTGTAACCGACATGCCGGCACAAGTGATTCTCACACAAGTGTTTGGACTCATTATTTGTAGTTTTGGCTCTATCCTCAAAGATTCCAGATGTGACTGAAGGACAGCTTTCAGTCCAGGTGTTACTGCAGGTAAGGAAGGGTTACTGCAGGTAACGAGATGTTACTGCAGGTAAGGAGGGGTTACTGCAGGTAAGGAGGTGTTACTGCAGGCAACGAGGGGTTACTGCAGGTAACGAGATGTTACTGCAGGTAAGGAAGGGTTACTGCAGGTAACGAGATGTTACTGCAGGTAAGGAGGGGTTACTGCAGGTAAGGAGGGGTTACTGCAGGCAACGAGGGGTTACTGCAGGTAACGAGATGTTACTGCAGGTAAAGAGGGGTTACTGCAGGTAAGGAGGGGTTACTGCAGGCAACGAGGGGTTACTGCAGGTAAGGAGGGGTTACTGCAGGTAACGAGATGTTACTGCAGGTAAGGAGGGGTTACTGCAGGTAACGAGATGTTACTGCAGGTAAGGAAGGGTTACTGCAGGTAACGAGATGTTACTGCAGGTAAAGAGATGTTACTGCAGGTAAGGAGGGGTTACTGCAGGCAACGAGGGGTTACTGCAGGTAACGAGATGTTACTGCAGGTAAAGAGATGTTACTGCAGGTAAGGAGGGGTTACTGCAGGCAACGAGGTGTTACTGCAGGTAAGGAGATGTTACTGCAGGTAAGGAGGGGTTACTGCAGGCAACGAGATGTTACTGCAGGTAAGGAGGGGTTACTGCAGGTAACGAGATGTTACTGCAGGTAAAGAGATGTTACTGCAGGTAAGGAGGGGTTACTGCAGGCAACGAGATGTTACTGCAGGTAAGGAAGGGTTACTGCAGGTAACGAGATGTTACTGCAGGTAAGGAGAGGTTACTGCAGGTAACGAGATGTTACTGCAGGTAAGGAGGGGTTACTGCAGGCAACGAGATGTTACTGCAGGTAAGGAGGTGTTACTGCAGGTAAGGAGGGGTTACTGCAGGCAACGAGATGTTACTGCAGGTAAAGAGATGTTACTGCAGGTAAGGAAGGGTTACTGCAGGTAAGGAGGTGTTACTGCAGGTAAGGAGGGGTTACTGCAGGTAAGGAGGTGTTACTGCAGGTAAGGAGGGGTTACTGCAGGTAACGAGATGTTACTGCAGGTAAGGAGGGGTTACTGCAGGTAAGGAGGGGTTACTGCAGGTAACGAGATGTTACTGCAGGTAAGGAGGGGTTACTGCAGGTAAGGAGGGGTTACTGCAGGCAACGAGGGGTTACTGCAGGTAACGAGATGTTACTGCAGGCAACGAGATGTTACTGCAGGTAAGGAAGGGTTACTGCAGGTAAGCAGGGGTTACTGCAGGTAAGGAGGTGTTACTGCAGGTAAGGAGGTGTTACTGCAGGTAAGGAGGGGTTACTGCAGGTAAGGAGGTGTTACTGCAGGTAAGGAGGGGTTACTGCAGGTAACGAGATGTTACTGCAGGTAAAGAGGGGTTACTGCAGGTAACGAGATGTTACTGCAGGTAAGGAGGGGTTACTGCAGGCAACGAGATGTTACTGCAGGTAAGGAGATGTTACTGCAGGCAACGAGATGTTACTGCAGGTAAAGAGATGTTACTGCAGGTAAGGAGGGGTTACTGCAGGTAACGAGATGTTACTGCAGGTAAGGAGGGGTTACTGCAGGTAACGAGATGTTACTGCAGGTAAGGAGGGGTTACTGCAGGCAACGAGATGTTACTGCAGGTAAAGAGATGTTACTGCAGGTAAGGAAGGGTTACTGCAGGTAAGGAGGTGTTACTGCAGGTAAGGAGGTGTTACTGCAGGTAAGGAGGGGTTACTGCAGGTAAGGAGGTGTTACTGCAGGTAAGGAGGGGTTACTGCAGGTAAGGAGGGGTTACTGCAGGTAACGAGATGTTACTGCAGGTAAAGAGGGGTTACTGCAGGTAAGGAGGGGTTACTGCAGGCAACGAGGTGTTACTGCAGGTAAGGAAGGGATACTGCAGGTAAGGAGGGGTTACTGCAGGTAAGGAGGGGTTACTGCAGGTAAGGAGGGGTTACTGCAGGTAAGGAGGTGTTACTGCAGGTAAGGAGGGGTTACTGCAGGTAACGAGATGTTACTGCAGGTAAGGAGGGGTTACTGCAGGTAAGGAGGTGTTACTGCAGGTAAGGAGGGGTTACTGCAGGTAACGAGATGTTACTGCAGGTAAGGAGGGGTTACTGCAGGTAACGAGATGTTACTGCAGGTAAGGAGGTGTTACTGCAGGTAAGGAGGGGTTACTACAGGTAAGGAGGTGTTACTGCAGGTAAGGAGGGGTTACAGCAGGTAAGGAGGGGTTACTGCAGGTAAGGAGGTGTTACTGCAGGTAAGGAGGGGTTACTGCAGGTAACGAGATGTTACTGCAGGTAAGGAGGTGTTACTGCAGGTAAGGAGGGGTTACTGCAGGTAACGAGATGTTACTGCAGGTAAGGAGGGGTTACTGCAGGCAACGAGATGTTACTGAAGGTAAGGAGATGTTACTGCAGGCAACGAGATGTTACTGCAGGTAAAGAGATGTTACTGCAGGTAAGGAAGGGTTACTGCAGGTAACGAGATGTTACTGCAGGTAAGGAGGGGTTACTGCAGGTAACGAGATGTTACTGCAGGTAAGGAGGTGTTACTGCAGGTAAGGAGGGGTTACTGCAGGCAACGAGATGTTACTGCAGGTAAAGAGATGTCACTGCAGGTAAGGAAGGGTTACTGCAGGTAAGGAGGTGTTACTGCAGGTAAGGAGGTGTTACTGCAGGTAAGGAGGGGTTACTGCAGGTAAGGAGGGGTTACTGCAGGTAAGGAGGGGTTACTGCAGGTAACGAGATGTTACTGCAGGTAAGGAGGGGTTACTGCAGGTAAGGAAGGGTTACTGCAGGTAACGAGATGTTACTGCAGGTAAGGAGGGGTTACTGCAGGTAAGGAGGGGTTACTGCAGGCAACGAGGGGTTACTGCAGGTAACGAGATGTTACTGCAGGCAACAAGATGTTACTGCAGGTAAGGAAGGGTTACTGCAGGTAAGCAGGTGTTACTGCAGGTAAGGAGGGGTTACTGCAGGTAAGGAGGGGTTACTGCAGGTAAGGAGGTGTTACTGCAGGTAAGGAGGGGTTACTGCAGGTAAGGAGGTGTTACTGCAGGTAAGGAGGGTTACTGCAGGTAACGAGATGTTACTGCAGGTAAGGAGGGGTTACTGCAGGTAACGAGATGTTACTGCAGGTAAGGAGGTGTTACTGCAGGTAAGGAGGGGTTAGTACAGGTAAGGAGGAGTTACTGCAGGTAAGGAGGGGTTACAGCAGGTAAGGAGGGGTTACTGCAGGTAAGGAGGTGTTACTGCAGGTAAGGAGGGGTTACTGCAGGTAACGAGATGTTACTGCAGGTAAGGAGGTGTTACTGCAGGTAAGGAGGGGTTACTGCAGGCAACGAGATGTTACTGCAGGTAAAGAGATGTTACTGCAGGTAAGGAAGGGTTACTGCAGGTAACGAGATGTTACTGCAGGTAAGGAGGTGTTACTGCAGGTAAGGAGGGGTTACTACAGGTAAGGAGGGGTTACTGCAGGTAAGGAGGTGTTACTGCAGGTAAGGAGGGGTTACTGCAGGCAACGAGATGTTACTGCAGGTAAGGAGGGGTTACTGCAGGTAACGAGATGTTACTGCAGGTAACCAGGTGTTACTGCAGGTAAGGAGGGGTTACTACAGGTAAGGAGGTGTTACTGCAGGTAAGGAGGGGTTACTGCAGGTAAGGAGATGTTACTGCAGGCAACGAGATGTTACTGCAGGTAAAGAGATGTTACTGCAGGTCAGGAGGGGTTACTGCAGGCAACGAGATGTTACTGCAGGTAAGGAGGGGTTACTGCAGGCAACGAGGGGTTACTGCAGGTAACGAGATGTTACTGCAGGTAAAGAGATGTTACTGCAGGTAAGGAGGGGTTACTGCAGGTAAGGAGGTGTTACTGCAGGTAAGGAAGGGATACTGCAGGTAAGGAGGGGTTACTGCAGGTAAGGAAGGGTTACTGCAGGTAACGAGATGTTACTGCAGGTAACCAGGTGTTACTGCAGGTAACGAGATGTTACTGCAGGTAACCAGGTGTTACTGCAGGTAAGGAGGGGTTACTACAGGTAAGGAGGTGTTACTGCAGGTAAGGAGGTGTTACTGCAGGTAAGGAGGGGTTACTGCAGGTAACGAGATGTTACTGCAGGTAAGGAGGGGTTACTGCAGGTAAGGAGGTGTTACTGCAGGTAAGGAAGGGTTACTGCAGGTAACCAGGTGTTACTGCAGGTAACGAGATGTTACTGCAGGTAACCAGGTGTTACTGCAGGTAAGGAGGGGTTACTACAGGTAAGGAGGTGTTACTGCAGGTAAGGAGGGGTTACTGCAGGTAAGGAGGGGTTACTGCAGGTAAGGAGGGGTTACTGCAGGCAACGAGATGTTACTGCAGGTAAAGAGATGTTACTGCAGGTAAGGAGGGGTTACTACAGGCAACGAGATGTTACTGCAGGTAAGGAGATGTTACTGCAGGCAACGAGATGTTACTGCAGGTAAGGAGGGGTTACTGCAGGCAACGAGATGTTACTGCAGGTAAGGAGGGGTTAGTGCAGGTAACGAGATGTTACTGCAGGTAACGAGATGTTACTGCAGGTAAGGAGGGGTTACTACAGGTAAGGAGGTGTTACTGCAGGTAAGGAGGGGTTACTGCAGGTAAGGAGGGGTTACTGCAGGTAAGGAGGGGTTACTGCAGGCAACGAGATGTTACTGCAGGTAAAGAGATGTTACTGCAGGTAAGGAGGGGTTACTGCAGGCAACGAGATGTTACTGCAGGTAAGGAGATGTTACTGCAGGCAACAAGATGTTACTGCAGGTAAAGAGATGTTACTGCAGGTAAGGAGGTGTTACTGCAGGTAAGGAGGGGTTACTACAGGTAAGGAGGTGTTACTGCAGGTAAGGAGGGGTTACTGCAGGTAAGGAGGGGTTACTGCAGGCAACGAGATGTTACTACAGGCAACGAGATGTTACTGCAGGTAAGGAGATGTTACTGCAGGTAACGAGATGTTACTGCAGGTAAAGAGATGTTACTGCAGGTCAGGAGGGGTTACTGCAGGCAACGAGATGTTACTGCAGGTAAGGAGGGGTTATTGCAGGTAAGGAGGGGTTACTGCAGGTAACGAGATGTTACTGCAGGTAAGGAGTGGTTACTGCAGGTAAGGAGGGGTTACTGCAGGTAAGGAGGGGTTACTGCAGGCAACGAGATGTTACTGCAGGTAAAGAGATGTTACTGCAGGTAAGGAGGGTTACTGCAGGCAACGAGATGTTACTGCAGGTAAGGAGATGTTACTGCAGGCAACGAGATGTTACTGCAGGTAAGGAGATGTTACTGCAGGCAACGAGATGTTACTGCAGGTAAGGAGATGTTACTGCAGGCAACGAGATGTTACTGCAGGTAAAGAGATGTTACTGCAGGTAAGGAGGGGTTACTACAGGCAACGAGATGTTACTGCAGGTAAGGAGATGTTACTGCAGGCAACGAGATGTTACTGCAGGTAAGGAGGGGTTACTGCAGGTAACGAGATGTTACTGCAGGTAAGGAGGGGTTACTGCAGGCAACGAGATGTTACTGCAGGTAAGGAGGGGTTACTACAGGTAAGGAGGGGTTACTGCAGGTAAGGAGGTGTTACTGCAGGTAAGGAGGGGTTACTGCAGGCAACGAGATGTTACTGCAGGTAAGGAGATGTTACTGCAGGTAAGGAGGGGTTACTGCAGGCAACGAGATGTTACTGCAGGTAAGGAGATGTTACTGCAGGCAACAAGATGTTACTGCAGGTAAAGAGATGTTACTGCAGGTAAGGAGGTGTTACTGCAGGTAAGGAGGGGTTACTACAGGTAAGGAGGTGTTACTGCAGGTAAGGAGGGGTTACTGCAGGTAAGGAGGGGTTACTGCAGGCAACGAGATGTTACTACAGGCAACGAGATGTTACTGCAGGTAAGGAGATGTTACTGCAGGTAACGAGATGTTACTGCAGGTAAAGAGATGTTACTGCAGGTCAGGAGGGGTTACTGCAGGCAACGAGATGTTACTGCAGGTAAGGAGGGGTTACTGCAGGTAAGGAGGGGTTACTGCAGGTAACGAGATGTTACTGCAGGTAAGGAGGGGTTACTGCAGGTAAGGAGGGGTTACTGCAGGTAAGGAGGGGTTACTGCAGGCAACGAGATGTTACTGCAGGTAAAGAGATGTTACTGCAGGTAAGGAGGGGTTACTGCAGGCAACGAGATGTTACTGCAGGTAAGGAGATGTTACTGCAGGCAACGAGATGTTACTGCAGGTAAGGAGATGTTACTGCAGGCAACGAGATGTTACTGCAGGTAAGGAGATGTTACTGCAGGCAACGAGATGTTACTGCAGGTAAAGAGATGTTACTGCAGGTAAGGAGGGGTTACTGCAGGCAACGAGATGTTACTGCAGGTAAGGAAGGGTTACTGCAGGTAACGAGATGTTACTGCAGGTAAGGAGGGGTTACTGCAGGTAACGAGATGTTACTGCAGGTAAGGAGGGGTTACTGCAGGTAAGGAGATGTTACTGCAGGTAAGGAGGGGTTACTGCAGGTAAGGAAGGGTTACTGCAGGTAACGAGATGTTACTGCAGGTAAGGAGATGTTACTGCAGGCAACGAGATGTTACTGCAGGTAAGGAGGGGTTACTGCAGGTAAGGAAGGGTTACTGCAGGTAACGAGATGTTACTGCAGGTAACCAGGTGTTACTGCAGGTAACGAGATGTTACTGCAGGTAACCAGGTGTTACTGCAGGTAAGGTCTGAGATGCTTTTAAGTCTGATCATCCTTCCTATTGTAAATCCTGTGTTTCCATCCATGAAGGCGTTTCCTGGTTGCAGACCTGTCAGCCTCCTCCAGAGGTCCTCTGTGAAATAAATGACTCTGTGGTCTCTCAGGTCTGTTGGTGTTGCTGAGCTGCTCGGTGCGTTGCTTTGTGTCCTAATTAACTGTTAGTTCATTTCATGAATCAAGAAATGAATCGTAAGTACAGTACTACTTAAGTATAGCATAGTGACAGTGATTTGCTTTGGGCTTCCGTTTGTCTTCGTCCTGAAAACAAACCTCAGGTGTTAAATCTCACTTTGTGTCATTTCAGTTGGGAACTTTTCTTCTTCTCTAATTGTTCAGTAACATCCATAAACTTCCCAATCACAAAGTTCATCATGAAATCCATCCGGCACTTTAAGTGAATAGATATGAGCAATAACCCCGGGGATACGATGCTGTTTGCAGTGACTGAGGCAAACTCGTTGTTGTCATAACTGTTATCTTTATTAAAGCTGGCCTTATCACTCTGCTGATCTCAGAGCTGCAGATGAGACAAAGCGCTCTGATGGGACAGATTTGCCCTGATGTGTCTATTTATTATGGATCAGGGCAAAGACGCAGACACAGCGACAGATGAAGACGCTCTCCGGGCTGAACCTGCTGTAGATGACTTACTTACCTTAGCATCTCTAAATATCACACCTTGATCTGCTGATTAACACCTCTCATTATCCCAGGATCATAATTTAGCTGCTTCATTATGTCGAGCAGTGACACTGAAATATTGTGTGGCTGTGGCACAGCAAAGGGCAAGCTAACATTTCACAAACATCAGGATTTGTGCCGGCCTTTTCCCCACGTGCAAGAGAAGCTTGGTATCCAAGCAACTGTGCAGAAGTCATTAGACGGAAGCGTTTCTTCAATCTTACTCTTTACTGACTTCTTTCTTTCCTGTGTCGGGTTGGTAGTTAGCACAGAGATCTACTGTCCTCTGCACAAATGTGGGGGTCCACCTGATCCACCTGAACACCATGTAGTGAGTCAGCCTACAGCTCAGCTCCTGTAGAGGAAGACAGGGGTTCTTATCGACTGCTCCTCCAGGTCTCCAGGGTGGAACAGTTAACTATAACTATACTGGGCATGTCTCCACCTCATGGACCAGCTCAGGCTCCTCCTCTCAGGGCCAGCACATGTATTACTATCCTGCAATATTACAGCATGGCTGACCGAAGCACTGTGCTTCCAGCACACCTTACAGCCAACGCTTCCAACGCCTCTGTGATGTTGAGGCGCGCTTCACGGTGATAAATAGATCACTGATTGGCTGACTTCGTTTGCGAACATCACATATCTCAGGAAAACCAAAGAGCAGCTTGTGACACAGTGACCCACATTTGTGCAGGAGGCTGAAGGTTAGCCTGTGTACGGCGGAGAC